GCTGTCAGGTTCCTGTAAAGCCACTTTCCCCCTTTCCTCTTTGGAAGGAAGGGCAGCACACACCCAAAGGGTGTGGGCAGAGTATCTGCATGAATTATTTGGAATTCTTCTGCATGAGCGATCTGCCTCTTCCCCTCCATTTATTCTTTTAACCCCAAATTTTCTTTTTTCTCCAGTGTTCTTTATAATAGAGTCATTTCACTAAGAAGTAAGTGAGCCAGCCCATTTTACAGGTGGAAACAGATGCTAACTGACTTGTACAAGTTTACATGGGGGTGCAGGGAGACCCAAAAAATGACAGGAAAAACTTGCATCTCCTGGAATTTACCATATTCCTTTTCTTTTTTAAAATTTTATTTTATTTTAAGGCAAGAAAAACAATAAAAACAACACAGAATTTCTAAACAAGATGATAGGAAATTAACACTGGTTATTATATTGCATATTGTTATCTTCAAAGTAGTTGCTCAGATTACAAGATATAGGCATGCAAAATTGATCAAACAATATAAGCACTAACTGCTCCTTTCAATGAACTAATAGAAATTAGTAGTACAATTATCTTAGCTAAAGAGAAAAAAATAAGATTACAAAATAGGAGAGTAATAATGGTTAATACATTGCATACTTAATTAGTCACTCAGAGTACAAGATATAGGTATTTAATTGTCCAAACAATATTAGCACAAACCTTTCTTTTCAATGAAGATAAATTAGTAGTATAACTATCTTAACTACTTTACATTTTTTTTCTTTTCCCTTCCTTCTTTTCTCCTTTTCCCCATCCCAGTTTCTCTTTCTTTTGAATAGTTTCTTCCTATTTCACAACATCTATTGTACATTGTGGATCTTATTTACTCTTTCAGCTTCTCATACTAGGGAAACAATATGATTTTTACACGAGTCTGATTTACTTATGAGTATGACCTTCAGTTGCATCCACTTACCTATAAAACTCTCCAGTTTATCCTTATGTCTGAGTAGTACATTGTATAAAAAGACATCTTTTTTATCCACTCCTCAGTTGATGGGCATTTGGGTTGTTTCCAAGATTTAGCTATTACATGTTGTGCTGCTATAACTCTGGGTTACACATATATTGCTGTAGTACAGTGTTTTTAATTCTTCTGGTTAGATACCCAGAAGGGGAATAGCTGGGTCAAATAGAACCTCCAATATTAGTTTTGTTGAGGAATCTCCACACTGATTTCCACAGTAGTTGCACCAGTCTACACTCCCACCAGCAATGGAAGTGTTCCTTTTCCCCTACAGCCCCACCAGCATTTGTTATTGGTTGATTTAATAATAGCCATTCTTTCTGTGGTGAGATGGAATCTCAATGTTGTTTTAATTTGCATCTCTCAAATGGCCAATGATGTTGAATATTTTTTCATATATTTATTTGCTGTTTGTATTTCATCTGGTAAGTTGTATATTCATCACAGATGCCCATTGTTAGAATGGGTCTTTAAATTTGGGAGGTCTGACTTTTTTTTTTGTTCTTTATATGTTCTCCATAGTAATTCTCTGTCTGAGGAACAGCTGGCAACCATTTTTTTCCCCACACTGTGGGTTGTCTCTTTACTCTGTTGGTGGTTTCTCCTGCTGTGAAAAAAAAGCTTCTTTTTTTTTATTTTAAAAACAAAAGGAGGAAAACATTAACAGACAACATTTTACAAAATAGCAAAAGAACAGTACAGACAATACAGAGTTACAAACAAAGTGGTAGGGAATTACCAATGCTTGTTGTATTACATATTGATATCTTTAAAGTGGTTTCTCACGAAAACAGATAGAGACATGCAATGCTGATCAACCAAGGACTCATTGACAGTTTCTTTCAGCAAAGAAATACAAGACAGTAGAACAGCCATGTCAACTATCCTGCATATACATACATACAAAATTTCTTTCCTTTCTTTTTTCCCACATCCCAGTTGCCCTTTACCCTTGAGTGCTTTCCTATCATTTCACAATGTCTATCATATCTCCTAGTCTAAATTAACTCTTTCAGGTTTTACACTAGTGAAACAATGTGGTGCTTGCACATGCAGGTCTGATTTATTTCACTTATGAGTATGGTCTCCAGTTGTGACCATTTACCTATAAAAGCCTCGAGTTTATCTTTCTTCACAGCTGAGTAATATTCCATTATATAAAAGTAGCACAATTTTCTTATCCAATCCTCAGTGGATGGACATTTGTGTTGCTTCCACATTTTAGCAATTGCAAATTGTGCTGCTATGAACATAGGTGCACATATATCACTGTGATATGATGCAAAAAAAGCTTCTTAATAAGATGAGATCCCAGTTGTTGATTCTTCTTGATAGTTCTTGTGCGATCAGGGTTTTACTCATAAAATCTTTGCCTACAGCAATGCCTTCAAGAGTTTTACCTATTCTGTCTTCCAGCAGATTTAATCTTCTGCTTTAATATTTAGATCTTTGATCCATTTCAAATTTAGCTTACTGCATGGTGAAAGATATGGGTCCAATTTTAATCGTCATATGCAAAGCCAGCTTTTCCAGCACCAGCTGGCTTTATTAAAGAGGCTGTCTTTCTTCCAGTAAACGGGTTCCTCTTTTTATTTATATATCCAATCATTTATTTATACTAGTATGGATTAGTGGATATTTACTTTAAACTTTGGGTTATAAGCCAATACTATCTTATTTTCTTTTATTTTCTTTGATGGGGGCTCAAAATTTTCCAACTTTGGCCAGTGGGAATTCAGGAGTCCTCACACACATACACTATTTCGTTGTGGTTTGGGAGCAATTTAGTAAGTCTTGACATTGGTTTCAAAAAAACACACAAAATCACCAGCAGATCAAGACTGCGAACATATTCATCACCCCCTAAAGATTCCTTAGGACCCTTTGCAGTCCTCCCCTCTGCTCTCCTGGTTCTCCTGCCCTCAGGCAAACACTGACTTGCTTTGTGTCACCCTACATTAGCCCAAAAGGTCTACAAGAATGAAACCCTGAAACAAATACTTTCCGTTGTTGTTAGCAATACTGGAGATGGAACCCAGGGCCTTTGCACTAAACTACATCCTCGGTGCTTTTTGTTTTTAACTCTAAAACAGGTTTTCCCTGGGCTCGAATTTGCAGTCCTCCTGCCTGTCTCCCTGCACGCTGGGACTGCAGACAAGCATGTGCCATCGAGCCCGGCACTGAGGATCCCGTTCTTAAAAGACAGCTGCAGAAGAAGAAAGGGCAAAGGAGCCAGGGCCTGAACAGAGGAAGGAAAACTCAGAGCAGCGATCGGAGAGCCATGAGCAGGCCGTGTCCTCCACACTGGCCACTGGCTCAGATCCCAAGGGAGGTGGGTACAGATGTTCAGCCCGGACTGGCGCTCCTGGGCTGGCAGGATCCAGCCCTCTCTGTTTCTCCCGTGGTCCCCAGCTGTCTCAGTTTGTTCCCGCTGCTCTGACAAACACAATAGACTGGGAAGTCCACAAGGCACAAGCAAACCGGTTTGGCGGCCGGCCTGTTCCAGACCAACTAGTTGCCAGGTGAGTAAAAGCCACGATCCCAGGCATCAGCCTCACTCGCTCCCCAGCCTCGCCCTGTCATTTGTTCATTGAATTCTAATCTGAAAAACCAACCATTATTCCTACAGCAAGATGGGAAAACTGAGGGCGGAGAACGTGACAAGAGACGGGAGAAAGCGACAGACCGAAAGGTGGCTGGTTCCCCGGCATCCGGTAGTGCAAAGCCAGGCGGCTGGCAGGGAGGACAAGGTATGCGCCAGTCCTCTGCGTGGTCCCGTTCAGGCACCTTCCTCTCCCTAGGGGCTGATGAACCGGCTGGAGCAAGTCCCAGTGTGTCACTGAAGCTGCCTCAGTTTCCCCATCCATAATCCGGCTTGGCTGCCCACTGTTCTCCAAGGCTGCGGCTTCTAGCGACCTGTCTCTGGCGCTTGCTCTGCACCTCCGAGAAGGCTCCGGGAAAATTCGGGGTCCCCAGCGGCGAGTTGAGGGGTCACTTCGATCCCTTCCACCACCAACCCCATGCCCGCCCTGACTCCCCTTCCCCAGAGGGCATCCCTGGAACAGCGAAGATCGTCGTCGGAGCAGCCCACTCAGGTCAGTTGCTTCCTCGCAGCCACAGTCCTCGTGTCCCGCGCCCGACTCCACCCGCGTGTCCAGGTCTCAGCAGGGTCAGGACACTGCGTGACGAACGGCACCGGGGTGGGGCCCTGCGTAGAGGAAAGAGAGCTTTACAGACCGCAGGTCACCACGCGCCCGCCCAATCCGGCCGAGCGGGTGGCCCCGCCCACATCCCTGCCTCGCGGGCTCCGGGGCTCCGCCCATTTCATTGGCCCCGCCCTTCCTGCCTCCGGGCGGGGCCATCTCCGGGCTGCCCGCGGAGGTGCCTGACCGGTTGAGGCTCCCGCACTCAGCTAGGGCCCGCGAGCGGGCAGAAGAGTGGGGCGTCCCGGGACGCCCACCTTGCCCCATTCTGCCTGTGGGGCTCGAGGTCGGCGAGCTGGCCGTTCCGCGTGGGCTACAACTGAGACACCTGGTTCCCAAGGACCCCGTTGGCTTTGGGAAAATTTATGGTTCGGGTTACAGCAGGAGCCACACAACGGCTCGGGAGGGCAGAAAGTCTGAGTCTCTGCCCCCACTCTCACGGGAAGGGGGACGGGTTCGGAGCCCCTTCTTTTGACCTCAAGCCCGCGTTTTTCCTGACATTGGTCAGTCTTCCTCTTCTTTCCAACTATGCATGATGTAGAAATGACTGAGCGTGTATCACAGAGGGCCACCTCCTCGGAATGTCCGAGCTGAGACTTGCACATAGCTCCCTGCACTCACCGCTGAGACCCTCTGCAGACACTATCAGCAGCCGAGGGCATTGAGCCTCCTCCGGATGACCCCAAGGGTGTTTCTACGGCTCAGACTGGCGCGCGCCGGACTGCTATCCCCACTGGGCGTCCCCGTCGCCCACGGCAACGCACCGGAAGCCGGGCACTGTCCCTTTAAGGAGCGCCGCTGCGTCCGCGTTTTGGTTCGACGCGCCCGCCCACGGCGCCGGCGGAGCGAACATGGCCCAGGCGGCGCGGCTGGCGCGGGCGCTGTGGCCCGGCAGGTGTGCGCTCGCCGACAGGCTGGGCGGCCGCTCCTGGCCACCGCTGCTCGTGCAGAGCCGGGCCGGCTTCGCGGGGGCAGCGAGTGGCCGCCAGGGGCGCCCGCGGCTGCTGGGAGCGGTGGCACTGGCGGTCGGGGGCGCCCTGGGACTGTATCACACCGTGCGGTGGCACCTGCGCGCCCAGGACCTCCGCGCCGAGCTCCCCGCCGCGCAGGTAAGGCCGGCCGGAGCGGCGACCCGGATTCCGCCCATCCCCGGGACTCCTGGGTCCGCGGGGTCAGGAGTCGCCTTCTCTGCCCGCCGATGACCTTGGGCGTATAACTTGGTCCTGTGTCCCGAGCGCGCCGCGTCCTCACCTGCCAAGTGGGGGCGCCCCTGGCGCCTGCTCCCTAGCACTGTAGTGCGTGTTTCGCATGCAGTCGTCTTCCTAACGTGTTTTAAGATTGTGGGCTGCAGCAGCGGCCCTAGTTGTTGTCGTTGGCAGGGGTTGTTGTTTGTTTGTTTGTTGAGACAGGGTCTCACTGTGTAGTTCAGGCTGGGCCCGAACTCATCGTGTAGCCCATGCTAGCTTCAAACTTATAGCGATCCTCCTGCCTCAGCCTCCCCAGTGCTGGGATTCAAGTTTGCGCCACCACGCCCAGCTGGTCCTCGTACTTTTATGGGGCTGATGACCCTCAGACAGGAGGTGTGACTAGGGAGATGTGGTCTCCTTACTGGTGGTGGCCCTTGAGACGCTTTATAGGATGCACCGTCACGCCCTTGTTTGTTGTCCTCAGCCCCAGTCCCCCTCCCCGAGAGTCCTGTGGCTTCCTGCCCACGTCTGTGCCTGGGCTCAGTTTCCCACCTGAGTGACCTGCGGACCCGGCCATGGCGGTACCGCCGCGTCTTGGGGAGCTGAGGTCCACCCCACTCTGGCCAGAGCTGGCTGGGCGGTAGCTCAGCACCGCCCCTCACCCAGAGGTCCCTGGGGTTGGAGGAGTGGGGCCAACTCTGGGGGCCTGGATACTGCAGCCCGAGGAGAAACCACCCCGGAACTGTCAGGGGTCCCCTGCCCCGGGCTGTGCTGGCTGGGGCTCGCAGCCGGGCTGTCCGCTACTGGAGCGCCCCACCCCCACCCCCGCAGCCCGGTTCTTCCCGTGTTTGCAGGGTCTCTGCAGAAGACTCCCCAGAGATGCGTGTTTGTTTGGGGACGGGGCCTGGATCTGGGGCTGCCGGGTTTCAGGAGCCCCTCCTGCTCCTCCCCCAGTTCTCTCTGTCCAGCCGCCTGCAGCTGACCCTGTACCAGTACAAGACATGCCCCTTCTGCAGCAAGGTCCGAGCCTTCCTCGATTTCCACGCCCTGCCCTACGAGGTGGTGGAGGTGAACCCCGTGCGCAGGGCAGAGATCAAGTTCTCCTCCTACAGGAAGGTGCCCATCCTAGTGGCCCAGGAAGGAGACAGTTCGGTGAGCCTTGGGGACCCCCACCCCTCGTGTCCTGGAGTAGCCCCGAATCTGGGCTGTAGGGACAGCAGAAGTGAAATGCCTGGCGTGGGGCTTAGCACTTCGCTTAGCACTGCAGCTTCTGGAGCCCTGGGGGGCGTGGTTGTAAATGCTGTGGCTTCTGCCCAGCTGCCGCCCTGTTAGCGCTGACCGGTCACCCTGAGTCAGGATGAGGGCCTGAGGGAGAGGCTGGTGGGCGCAGCAGGCACTGGTTTGGGGTGAGCCCTCCGGACGGGTGCATCGTGCCTGGGCTCCATGCAGCCAGGTAGCTGTAGTTTAGGAGTCCCGTCAGTCCTGCTAACCAGAGCCACAACTTTTGATCCAAAGCCAGGCATGGTGGCGCACGCCTGTAATCCCACCACTTGGGAGGCTGAGGCAGGAGGATTATGAGTTGGAGGCCAACCTGGGCTACATAGTGAGTTCAAGGCCAGCCTCAGGTGCATAGCGAGACCCTGTCTCGGTAAACCAAAACAGCAGAGTGGGCTTTTCTTCCAGCAACAACTGAACGACTCCTCTGTCATCATCAGTGCCCTCAAGACCCACCTGGTGTCCGGGTAAGGACCTCAGGGTCGTGTCCGATCTCCCAGGGAGGCCGCCCTGAGCCGCTGCCGAGGATTCCAGATGGGCAGGGCGCACCCTGGCCTGAGCCCTCCCTTCTCCCGCGCCTCATCCCGCCCTCCATTGGGAAGGTGCTCCTGGTACCTAAGCCCAGCCCTCTTACTGCAAGAGGGCAGAGCCTCTGGGGCGCAGCCAGGTGGCCCTGGGGACAGAAGGAGGACAGAGCAGGCCTGAGACCCTGGCTGTCTCCCAAAGGCAGCCCCTGGAAAAGATCGTCACCTACTACCCACCCATGAAGGCCCTGAATGACCAGGGCAAGGAGGTCACCGAGTTCGGTAACAAGTACTGGCTCATGCTGGACGAGCAGGAGGCCCGGCACATGTACGGCGGGAAGGAGGCCAGGACGTGAGTGGGGCCGGGGCAGCAGGGCTGGGGCCCCCCAGGGGCTGGAGCCAGGCTCTGCCCCGGTACCCTCGGCCCACCGCGCCCCTCCCGCACCGCAGGGAGGAGATGAAGTGGCGGCAGTGGGCAGACGACTGGCTGGTGCACCTGGTCTCCCCCAACGTGTACCGCACGCCCGCGGAGGCCCTGGCCTCTTTTGACTACATCGTCCGCGAGGGCAAGTTCGGGGCTGTGGAGGGCGCCATGGCCAAGTATGTGGGCGCGGCCGCCATGTACCTCATCAGCAAGCGCCTCAAGAGCAGGTAATGCCCGCACGCGTGGGTACGGGCCTGCCGCCCCCAGGCCCGGTGCCACGGTCTGCATGGTGGCCCTGAAGCCTGAGGGAGGCAGGTGGGCAGCCAGGGCTCCGGATCCCCTCCCCAGCACCAGGCCTGGGAGTCAGAAGCCGGCCGGCCCTGCTGGCCTCCCTCTGCTTCGGTCTCCACGTAGGGCCCTGCTCTCCTGAGCCACCCTGTCCCCTATCCGGGCAGGTGCCCTCCGGGGCCTCCCCAGGACCACTCTGCTCATCGCCCGATGGGCTCCCCTCCCCCACGCAGGCATCACCTGCAGGACGACGTGCGAGAGGACCTCTACGAGGCTGCCAACAAGTGGGTAGCAGCCGTGGGCCAAGACCGGCCCTTCATGGGAGGCCAGACGCCAAACCTCGCTGACCTGGTGGGTGTCTGGCAGCGCATGGTGCCCAGGCCTAGGGGTGGGGAGCGGGGAGGGTAGGCCCAGCATCGCCTGCCTTTCGAGGTCCCTGTCCTGTCATGCCCACCCCCAGCCCCACCCCCACCTGGTGTTGGTAGAGACTTAGCTCAGAGAGGCTTAAGAAAGCAACCAAGTAGGCCAGGCATGGTGGCGCATGCCTGTAATCCCAGCACTCGGGAGGCTGAGGCAGGAGGATTGTTCTGAGTTCAAGATCAGCCTGGGCTACATAGTGAGCTCAAGGCCAGCCTGAACTACATAGCAAGACCCTGTCTCAAAAAGACAAAAAAAGAAAAAGAAAGAAACCAACTGCAAGGCACTGCCCTGGTTCCCATACCTGACAAGCTCAGAGAAGGGGCTGTCTTCAGGCCTTGCTGGATCCAGAGCCCCAGGCGGCAGCACCAGGGCCCAGGCTTCTCCTGCACGAGCTTGGCCGTGCTGTCCTGGGAACTGGCGTCACCCTCAGGCAGGCCTGGTCCTACCCAGCAGCCTCCTTGGCCAGACTTCAGTGCCTGGGGCTGTGCTGCAGCCCGACATCCTGGTTCAGAGTGGGGTGCTGGGGTGTCTCCCCCAGGAAACTGAGAGACTTGGGGGTATGGACGCCCGGAGGGGGCTGTGGGGACCAAGGTGCAGCCTGCAGCCACCACGCATGCTCTGTGCCACCCCCGTGTGCCACGGCGGCCCTTCGGTGGCCACGAGCTGCAGGCTGACAGTCCACGGCTCCCTCCACAGGCGGTGTACGGCGTGCTGCGCGTTATGGAGGGGCTGGAGGCCTTCAACGACATGATGCGGCACACGCGCATCCAGGCCTGGTACCTGCGGGTGGAGAAGGCCATCGCCGAGGCCCCCACGGCACACTGAGCGCCCCCGGCTGGTGGGGGTAGGCAGCAGACTGCTGGGGACGGGGGCCCCTGGGCCAGTCTCCATGACACTGTATAGGAGCGTGGGAGTGCGGGGTCCTTCGCCTCCTGTCCGCCTCACCCGCAGCTCCCCAGCTTCTGACACTGAAACTTCCAGGGCTCCGGGTGCTGGGGACAAGGCTGGGCTGTTTCTGCTTATGACCACTAGGGGATTCGTGGTCCCCCCAGGGACTGCCTTCCGCCCCTGCCCCGCCCCGGGATCTGGTCCCTGCCTGGACCTCCCTGTTCTGCAGTCCCTCTCCACGGCCGCCAGGGGGCGCTGTCATGCTGCAATAAAGAGGAGGTTTGTTGCTCCCCTCTCGAGGGCTATGTGGCTGTCGCACAAGAGGGCAGGGGGATGTGGGGACCAGCAGATGACATCACCATCATAGAACGGTGGGGGGGGGGCATGGCCCCGGGGCCAGGTCTGGCTCTTCCCCGAGCTGACGGCAGCAGTACGGGGCTCTGAGCCTGCTTCCTGTCTGTGCAGGGAGCACGGTGGGTCCCACCTGGTGGGAAGTTGTGGGGTTTGAGATGCGAGTCAGACGACAGAAGTGGGACGGCGTCGTTCACACCTGTGCTCTCCAGACAGGCCGTGCTTCGGGGACGGGGCCCTCTGCCAGTGTCACCCCCAGACTGGGGCGGGTCTGCATCAGGAAGTCGCCTCGGTGTCTCCGATGCGGGGACCAGCGTGGGTTTCTGTTCCCCAAGTCCCATCACAAGGCCGGGGGCCGCCCGGAGGCCAGGAGGGAGGCCGCAGAGCAGAGGCCTCCACTGTCCCCAGCTAGTGGGGCGCCGAACGGCCCCCTAGACCTCAGGAAGGTCTCCACATGTTCCTTTGTTTTAAAAACAAGCCAAGTACGGCCGTGCACGCCTGTGATGCCATCAGTCTGTGGCTGAGACAGGAGGATCCCACGTGCGAGCCCAGCCTTGGTGTCATAGTGAGACAGTCTCAGAAATGAAACGGGTGAGAGGGGAGCTCGGGCAGAGCACCCCTGGGTTTGGTCCCCGGTACTTAAAGTAATAACTCAGGTTCCTCATAAGAACTAGCGTTCAAATTACCTAGAAGCGCATATCAGCAGTCGACATGAGGTGTGCGGGCAGCTGTGGGGTCGGTGGCCCCAGGGTCTCCCCAGGCCCCCCACGCCCCTGCCTTGTCCTCACTCCTACCCCGGGCCTCTCCTTCGCTGTGCACGCTGCTCCCTGAGGGGCTGCACTGAAGCCCCCACGCCCAAGGACAACCTCCCCTCTGGAGTACCAGGCAGCAGACACCGGGCTGCGGGCCCCCTGCAGGGGCCGCAAAGACCGGGGACAAGTGTGGGGGCCGCAAGCTGCCCCCGGTTACCAGGCAGGTCTGAGGTGTTCGCACTGAGGGGCCACAGCTGTAGGACCCAACATCGGCATAGACCCCAGGCCTCCCTGGCAGGGCAGGGACAAGGCCATGGATGCCAGGTGATGAGGGAGGACCTTCCCTCCACCCCGTCGCTGTCCCCGCCTCCCTCCGTCTGAGCACCCTTCCCTGGGCACCCACACCCCGCTGCTACGGCCTCCATTCCTGCAGCGTCACCCACTGTCCTCTCAGCCCTGCGCCAGCTTGTGCTGCCCTGGGTCCCTGCCGTTCAGCACAGCCCAATGCGTCCGTCCCTCCCCGAGAGGAGCATCTGATGTGTCCCGCATGCAACGAGGGTCGCCGCCTTCTGTCTGAGCCGCAGCTCCCTGCTCTGGCTGCTGCTGACCTCGACTGCCCCCAGCCCCGTGTGCAGGCCGGGCCGCCACTTGTCCTGTTGCCTGTGGTCGCAGAGGGTGGGTGTCGGAGCCCTGCTGGGAACGAGCCGGACTTCTCAGGGCTCCTTCCCTAGGGCCACGGGAGAAGCCTGCAAGGATTCAGTGGTCACGTGGATGAAGAATCAGGACCCGGATCCTGTGAGTGGGCCAGGAGAATGGCCCTGCATCCTGGGGGTTCCAAGGGCAGCATCTTCCCCGGCCCAAGGAGTCCACCTTTTATCTGCGTGTTTCCCTCTGACCGCCAGAGGGCGCAGGAGGTCTGCGAGGCCAAAAAGGCCCTGGGAACAGATCTAGTGCTGCCCCCTGGTGGCCAATTCCAGAGTCGACCTGGCTGCCGTCATTGTCCAGGGACTTCCAACTATAAAATGGGTTTAGTGTGTCCGGGTCTGAACATAACAAGCAAGTGCGGAAAAGCATATCTCTCAAGGAAAAGGCCCCAAAGCAGGAATCCTTGTCCCAGTTCATCATGCTCTAGTTGTGACACTTCCCTGGGGTCTTGATGGCAACCAGGTCCTGAGTTTGATACCTTGGGCGGGCCCCCTCCTCTTGAATGGCATCAGCGAACCCCATGGGCTGGGTGAGGTCTGGGGCAGGAAGTGCCGGGAAGGCAGTGCGCAGAGCTGACCCTTGAGGCGTGGTTAATGCAACTGACAGACGCTGCTGCCACCTGGGCACAGTCCCTACTCTGACCTGGTGGCTTCCAGGGGTCAGGGTCAAGAGCCCCGGAAGGAAGAAAAACAGCTCTGGGAACAGCCAGATCTGCTCTCCTGGGAGCCAGGGAGTCCTGGGGAGGCAGCCTGTGGGGAGGATTCTGATTAGCTTGTTTATGTCAAGTTTCTAAGTTTCCCTGGGTATGGTAGTGCCGTGATGCCAGCACTGGGGAAGCTGATGCAGGAGGATCCCATGAGTTCAGGGCCAGCCTGCAGTATACTGGAGACCATGTCTCAAAAATAAAAAGTGCTGGGGATGCAGCTCAGCAGTGGAGCCCTCACCTGGGTTTGCCCCCCAGTACTCACCACGCAGCCCCCATAATACCCTGTCCAGGCTGGTGGGGCTGCATCCCGGGAGGACCCGCCCTCCTCTCTCACTGCTATCCCTCAAAGGCCTGTCCTGTCTGGTCCCCTGTTGTTCGGCTCGCCTCTCTGTCGCTGTCGCAGCCTCCCCAAAGGCAACATCTGAAGTGTGCAGCTGAGACAGGGGTCACTGCCTTCTGCGCAGAACACCGCTGAAGCAGAGAGGACCCCGACTGCAGCCCGTACCCCTTCTCCTGTTGCCCCACGGCTCTGACCTCAGCTCCCCTAGACCCATTCCCACTGGGCCCCACCACGAGACACCTCAGCTCTCCACGTCTTCCAGACTGAGATCATACTCTCTGCACACAGGCCAGAGGGTTGGTGCTGGAGGCCTGCTGGGAGCAGGGTCCCCACTCCTCAGGGCTCTTTCCCTGGGGCTGCTGCAGGTAGGGAGGAGCCTGCAGCCCCCTGCACTCTGGTCACCTGGCTGACAAGGTAGAGAATGGCAGAGCAGCCTAAGGGTGCCCAGGGACACCACCAAGACCCAGCTTCCCCTGACAATACCTTCCAACCCTGAATGTGCTGGGTCCTTATGCTTCCTCATCACCACCAGAGGGCGCTAGAGTCTGAGAAACCCAACAAGAGACGGAAACGACTGGTGCTGCCACCTTGCGGCCACTTGTAGAGTCGACTCATGGTCAGATCCGTCCCGGGAGCCAGGGATTCCTGGGAGGGCGGCCTGTGGGAGGATTCTGGCTCTTTGGTGTTTGTTAAGTTTCACCTGGTGTGGTAGTGACTCTACATCTGTGAGCCAAGCCCTAGGCAGGCTGAGGCAGGAAGATCCCAATATGGAGGCCAGGTGGAGCTACATAGTGACTTCAACGTCAGCCTGGATTGCATAGTGAGACCCTGTCTCAAAAATATATAAATAGTAAAATGAAATAGTTCCGTTTTGATAATGCAAATAATGAATGTTTAAAGAATGTAGTTAAGAAATAATACAAATATTTCACAGTCCCACTTTTAACATTTTGGACAGTCTTCTGGGTTGTTTTTTACATAGCCTACATAAGACACACACACACAGGGTCATGCACGTTTACTGTCTAATAAGTGTACATGCCTCACAGTTAAATGCGGACCGTTTTGTGGCAGTCACTACTCAGGATACTTTAGAGCAGTGACCACATTCATCCCAACAACATTCCTATAAGGTCGGCAACAACTTTCCCATTTAGCCAGGGGTGTAGCTCAGTGGCGTAAGTGCCTGCCTGGCAAGTGCAAGGTCCTGAGTTTGATTCCTGGTACAAAAAACAAACAACCCAAAAAATAAATAAATAAATAAACCGGCCGGGCGTGGTGGCACATGCCCGTAATTCCAGCACTCGGGAGGCTGAGGCAGGAGGATCATTGCGAGTTCGAGATCAGCCTGGGCTACAAAGTGAGCTCAAGGCCAGCCTGAACTACATAGCGATACCCTGTCTCAAAAAGACCAAAAAAAAAATCACTTTCCCATTTGGAAAACAGAGGCATCAGAAAGGTTAGTGACTCGCCAGGTGGCAGGGGCAGGATTTGAACCCAGACCTCCTGGCTTTAGTTTATGGTCTATTTCTCTGGAGCTGCATCCCACTCTGTAGAGGGGCCAGGGGTGTAACCTGCCCTTGCCAGTTCCAATGGCTTTCATTTTCCACAAGATGCACACACTCCATAATGTGACTGTAGCCTTCTTTATTTAACCAGTGTGATGAGTCAGGCATGGTGACCCAGGCCTGTAAACCCAGCATTCAGGAGGCTGAGGCAGGAGGATCACCAAAAGCAAGGCCAGTTTGAGCTACATAGCAAGACCCTGTCTCAAAAAACCAAAGCAAAGGATAGGAAAGATTTTGATGGGTGGGAGGGTTTGACGGGAACAGTGTTGAGGGGGGCGTGGCAGGCTAAATAGTGGCCCCAATATCCAGGTCCTGATCGGTCACCTCAGAATGCTTCGGCTCCAGTGGTGCAGGAACCTCGGGCGTGAGATGGGAGCTTCCAGGTGGCCCCAGCCGTGGTCCAGCATCCTTAGGGAGGCCGGGGGAGCCCCGCTCAGGAGGCCGCGGGGTGGCACTGCGCATGCGCGGCAGCTGGGCGAGCCAGAAGCGGTCACCGCCACGGAGCTGCGGAGCCTCAGAATGCCCCGGGGAAAGGCCAGCCGGGTTCACCCCGGGGCTCTGGAGAGCTCATTTGCACTGTGCCTTGCGGTCCGCCGGGGAACTGGTTTTGGCCCCTTGGCTCTTTGCAGCACCAGAGGAGACCGGGTCAGCGGACCTGTAAGTCGCTCAGGCTGTGGACACGCGTGGGGCACGAACTGGAGTGCTGCCGGCGCGGGCAGTCAGAGGCTCGGTGACCGGGGAACCAGGACTGCAGCCCACGGGAAGCGGGCCGGGGGCTTGGACCCGGGGACCTCGTGGGCCCTTCCGCTTCCCCGCCCCGCCCCGCCCAGCCTCTACAGCCACCCGCACCTGCCACACCGGTGCGGGGCCTTAGGGAGCCGAGACAAAGTCCTCCGCGAGGCAGGGCCAACTCAGGTTGCCTCCTGTCCTCACCTTTCCCCTACTTGCCGTCCGCGAGGCCGATGAGATCCAGATGGCAGGCAGCAGCGGCCAGGCGGGGGCAGGGCGGGGACTGCGCTGCGCTAGTTACCTTTGTACACACTGGACACGGGTCTCCGCCTCAGGCCGTAAGCAAGGTCCTGTGTTCCATACCCATTTGGTTGTTGTTTTGAGACAAGGCCTCCATGTAGCCCAGGCCGGCTTCAAAGGCATGGTGATCCTCCTGCCTCAGCCTCCCCAGTGCTGGGATTTACAGGGGTGCCCCACCATGCCTGCTGTCTGCGCCTGTCTTTTGAGGGAGGAAATGGATACTCAGCAATGCGGAAACCCGGCCCAGAGGAGGCCAAACTGTCCCATCGCCTGTAAGGGAATTCTCAGGGTCTGGGGTGGGTGTGACCCTGGCAACCAGAGAAGCGCTGCTATGGCAACGACTTGCAGGGTGGTGTTCCAGGCTCCAGGTGCTGGGAACAACGCAACAGAAAGGGAACAGATAAGGAACGAAGGAGGGACAATAAACAGTCCCGCAGATAAGGACAGACGGGAAGAGGCGGGCGGGTGGGAACGGGGACTCCCAGTGGTGATACACAAGTAACAGTGCACAGAGAGCCAGGCATGATGGTGCAGGCCAGCAAGCCCCGCACGCTGGCAGGCTGAGGCAGGAGGGTCACAAGTTCCAGCACAGCCTGGGCGATTTAGCAAGACATAGCAAGACTGTGTTGCAAAATAAAAAATAAAACAGGGCTGGGGTCATAGCTCAGTTAACTCTGGGCGCAATTCTCAGCACTAGGAAGAAACGTGGGGGGAGGGAAGGAGGAGACAGGACGGGGGGCTGGAGGAGCCGAGGTGCTCGCGCGGAGGCAGCCGGGTGAGGGTCTGCACCCCAAGTGCAGGTGAGGGTCTGGGTCTGCACCCCGAGAGTCTGACCCAGCTTCAGCGCCAGAGAGGCCCTGTGCCAGGCTGCGTGGAACTGAGGCTGAGGCCAGGTAGGACCAGGTTGGGGCCAGCAACCCCTGTGCCAGCCCCAGGCCTGGCAAGGACTTCTGCCATCGCCCCGGCAGTGGCACGGGGTGTCCCCACCGTCGGCTGGCCTACGAACACAGAAATTCCCTCCCACACACCTCGCGGCCTGAGGTGCGGGCCAGGTGGCCCCTTCCCTCCCGGGGGGTGGCGGCAGCCGCAGTGTCCCTGCTCTGCCCCGGCTTGGAGACAGTCGCTCTGTCTCTGCCTGCTCCTCACTGCTCTGCGTCTCCTGTGCACCTGTCTCTGTGCGTCTCGATCACCACGTTGCCCAGGCTGGGCTCGAACTCTCGATCCTCCTGCCTCAGCCTCCCAGAGTGCCGGATTCATAGGTGAGCAGCGCCACGCCTGGCTTTCCTCCATGAAGACACCCGTCACTGGATTTAGGGCCCCACCCTGTGGCCTCATTCTAAATAGGTCGCATCTGTCCTGATCCTGTTCCCAAACAAGGCTGCACTGAGGTTCCGATGGACACACATCCCAAGGGACACCACGGGACCCAGAGCAAGGGTGTCGCCAGCTCCACAACCCGGCACAGGCCACGCCTCCCCACCCTGCTACACTCAGGAGCCCCAGGGCTGCTTCCTCCCATCTGCTCCCAGCCGGGGACCCCGGTGCCCAGGGCCATCAGAACACTGGGGCGTACACTTTTTATTTAAGGGACATTTTGTTGGGACACTGTACACCAGGCCCTGGAGATGAGTGCAAGTATTTTCTGCTCTAAGGCCTGAGGGTCAGAGACAAAAAGCAAATCAAGAATGTCAAGAGTCAGAGGAAGCCAGGTGCTTGTGGTCCCAGTACTTGGGAGGCTGAGGCAGGAGGATCACTGGAGCCCAAGTTCAAGGCCAAGATGGGCAATAGAGCAAGAGACTGTCTCAAAAAAAAAGAGAGAGAGAAGGCTCAGGGCCAGGCACAGAGTCCACCAGTGATCAGGAGGCAAAGGCCTGGCAGCTGCGTGCTAGGACCTGGCAGCTTGGGGGCCCCAGAGGCCAGAGCCAAGTTTCGTGGGACCAAAGACTGCAGCCTGCAGGTTTTGTGGAAAAGTCAGGCATGGTGGTGTCTGTGACCAGCCGGGGCTGCGGAGGCCCTGCCCCGATCGGGGGGCAGGGCGAGGAAAGGCAAAGCAAGGTGCCCAGCTGAACGCTGGTTACTAAGGAAAGCAAACCCCAAGCACCGAGCACAGAGCACCAAGCACCGGACCTCAAGGGCCCCTCAGGACGTGTAACCCCCGCCCCCTCACAGCGAGGCCCAGCCCTGGCAGGCCGGGCAGAGGGCTGAAAACAAGCTCCACCACTTCCGGCAAATGCACCTCTGGTCACGGATGGGCGGCTCACAGGCTCCCCTAAGCGACGAGAGGGACTTCTGTCTCCAGGTGAGAAGGGGACAGGACACTGAATGGTCGTCCTCTGCCCCCACCCACCACCTTTTACTGTGATCCTGGGGACTGAACCCAGGGCCTTGGTGCTGAGCTACATCCCTAGGCCTTTTTTTTGAGGTGCATTGGCAAAGTTGTCTAGGCTGGACTCAAACTTGGGACCCTCCTGCCTCAGCCTCTACAGTGTAAGTCCACTTCTAACTGGGGTACCTTCTCCATTTCCAAGAGCCACAGTGCTCTGAGTATTAACCAGTTTTGGGGTGCTGCAACCTGAGGAAATCAGCTGAGCGGAGGTCAGCACCCAGCACCTCAGTGACCTGCTTCTGCCAGTTAGGCCCCGCCTCCTACTAAGCCCACTAGGCTAACAGACTCATCAGCGGGCTCGTCTCCTCAGCGAGGTTAAGGCTGTCAGGGTCTCATCACCTCCTAAGAGCCCATCAGCTCTTTCTGGGCATGGTGGCCCACGCCTGTCATCCCAGCACTCGGGAGGCTGAGGCTGGAGGATCTCTGAGTTTGAGCCCAGCCTGGGCTACACAGTGAGCTCAAGGCTAGCCTGAACGACTACGTCGTTTGAGACCCCCATCTCAAAACAACCAAAAAAGGAAAGGAATCTTGCTGGAAGCCGTGTGAAGACAGCTTCAAGCAAGAACCAATCAAGAGGGCTGAAGGACTCAACACGGGGGCTTCACCAGAGCACCCCAAATCTAACCCACCTGTTCAAAAGGGAGCACTTTCCCGAGCCAAGAGGCCATGGCTGGTCGAACACGGGGTGATAAAAATGGGTTCATCTCCCAGCACACTCCAGCGGTGAGAGTGGGGTGTAACTTAACTGGCCTTGGGCTCCACCCCAGAGATTGGCGGAGAGCACTCCGGGGTGCATCTGGGTGGCCAGGGGGCATGGCTGGCCCCCGGCCCCTTCCTTTCAGGTGCCGCCCTGCTCTGCTTTCTGGCTGCCGTGCACGGAGCAGCTCAGCTTAGTTCCACCGTGCTGTTCCCGCCCCAGAGCCAGCCAGCCGTGGACTGAAGCCCTGGACACCAGGGGCCAAGTGACCCCTCCTGCTGCGGGTGGTGGTGCAGGGTACTGCACCCAGCCACAGGAAAGCTGGGGAACACTCACACAGGGGCCCCCCACCTCCCGATGCCGCAGGAGAAAACGAGCAGGCTTCATGACATCAGCTGCGAAACAACTTTATTAGAAGGCTGTTTTAAACGACAACTTCCAATCAACCCTTTCACCTGCTTGTTGACAAATTCCAGTTATAACTACATACTTCTATAGAACGATTTTTGCATTGATCTTTGCATCCTATTAAGTTTCCTCGTCAGGTCATCCCAGGGTAATGGAGCTGCCATCAAGTGGCCGGGTGACCGGCATTACTGAGCAGGGGCAGCTGCAGGTCAGGAGGGAGGGAGTCCATTTCAGACCGGGACAGGGGACTCGCTGCCCAGCCCGCCGGCCCCCGCCCTCACCCCAAATTCACAGTGAGAGGCACCTCGCCGCCTTGTCATTCAGAAACGATGAAACAAAGAAATCCCCCATCGGAGCTCCACCTTCCCCCACCAAGCCCTGAGATCCCAACTTCCTGCGGTCAAGCCGCACCCCAGGACTTGTTCTCCAAGGTCAGCTCCCCCTTCTGCTCACCTCCAGCCCAGAGAGGAATTTCTCTGGACAGACACAGCCGGAAGTCGGCGTGGGCGGGGAGGGGAGGGGGGGCTCCCGCCAGGGTTCCCGCCTCCCTGTCCTCTCCCCACTCCCACCGGGCGGCGATGGCAAGGTACAATCAGCCATGAACATAAATATGAATACAAAAGGAACTTGAAAGTGACAGGCTATTAATTAAACAAATCTATAAAAATAGTTAGGACACAACTCTGTTCAAATAAATACAAAATAAATAGGCTCCAAGCAGTGATACGTCACATCAGTGGAATGTGAGGCTGGTCCCACTTGGCCCGTGGATTGGACCCAACCCCGAGCGGCAGAGACCGACGGTCACGCCGCCCGCCCGCCGGCCCTCCCCGTGCCTCCTTTCCAGAAGCACAGGGCAGGCACAGCCGGCCAGCTCAGCCTGGGGCCAAACCTTCTTCCCAGCGACACACAATTAAGGCCTTCGACAGCTTTCCCTCCCTCAGCAGGGCGCACAGGCCTAACACGGGACCCGGTGCTGCCCTCGTGCCATGGAGCAGGGACAATGAGTTTGACTCTGCGCTGATGCCAGTCCTGGCAGAGTCTGGGACCCGGCGGGCAGCAGAGGCCCTCTGGGCCCCAGGCCCAGCGCCAGCCTCCCCCAAAGCCATGCGCCACCATGCCAGGCAGCCAGCGCCGAGGGCACAAGCGCATCCAGACCCTGCAGGTGGCTCTGCAGCCAGCGCGGGCTCTGACACGGGCAGGTGGGCAAGAGAGACCCCGTCTTCCCACACCCGCCTCAGCGCCCACGGCAGCTCAGGGCAGCAGCGCCTGTCAGGGTGCACCCAGGGTGGGGGCACAAGGAGAGGCGTGAGCAGCCAGCGCCCTCCTCCTGCTGCAGCAAATCGAGAGGCAGAGTGCGCAGTGGGCACGGGGAGGCGCGGCCGGCCGGAGGAGGACGAGATGGAAGAACCAAGCCGGGCTCCAAGCTCGCTATTTGGCAGGCACTGCAGGGAACGTCCTGTCCCGAGGCCTGTGAGCCCGGGCCCCTGCTGACCCTGGACCCTAAGCAATGCCCATGCATCTTCCCTGGAAAGGGCACAGGGTCTACCAGGTCAGCAGGACAAGCGCCAGGGCCAGCCAGGTGTCCCCACCCTCCCCCAGGGCGCAGCCAAAGTTTCATAGCTTGGCTTCGGTCATCTTAGTGTTGGCACATTCACAGAATGAGATGGTTCCGCACCCCGGCCCAGCCGGGATCCACGAGTCCGCCGCCCGCCCCCCGTCACCGCGACTGCACGCCCAGGGTGATCTTCAGGTTCTCGTACACCACGTAGCTGATGCTCACGGCTGGGATCACCTTCATGAAGTTGGGGGCCAGCCCCCGGTACAGCCCAAAGGCTCCTTCTGTCCGTAGGATCTGCTTGAAGAGGCTGCTCATGGTCACCTCGGGGGCACCCTCGACGGAGGCTGCAGGCAGAAGGGCACGGGCCGGGTCAGACGGTTCCCGCCGCACCCCCACCCCAGCTGCCCAGGTGGCTAGGACCGGCCTGAGACCCGCCTCACCTTGCGCCTGCATCCGGGTCCTGACCAGGGCCAGCGGGTAGCTGGCCAGCTGGCCGCAGGTGCTGGAGATGGTGCCGCAGGCCAGGAGCACGAACACGCCGGGGTCGGCGCTGTTCACGGCATAGCGCTGCAGCCAGGTGTTCTTGAGTGTCTGGAGGTGAGGGAGGAGGGTGAGCCCCGAGGCAGCATGGGGGGGGCCCACAGTCCCTGGACCCGCATCCGGGGCACCTTCCTGTCACGCGGGCTCCACAGGGCCACTGTGACCTGATGCGGCTCAGCAAGGCCCAGGCTCCTCGCCCACCCGCTGCCCTGGTTTCTGCTATCACCAGGGACCCCAGGCCAGGACAGTGAGGGCGGCCACGGCAGAGGGAGCGCCCCTCGCCTCACCGCCCCTCACATGTGAAACTGGGCTGTCAGGACAGCGGGTCATGAGACACCTGTGCATAAACAGACAAGCGCCGTTTCCTGTCCAGTGCGATCCTGGTGCCCCGCTGGGGAGGGAGACGACGGCAACCCAGGGGCTGAGGCGAGGAAGCGGGGGCTCAGCCTCCCCTGCCTGCTCCCGGGACCTCACCTCGTAGACGGCCAGGTCGATGCCGGCGTAAGGGATGATTCCCAGCATATTGGGGACGTAGCCTTTGTAGAAAGCGGCCACCCCTTCCCTGGCCAGGATCCTCCGGGCGCAGTCCAGCATGCCCGAGTACTGGCCTGTCTTCCGCAGGGCCATTCGCGTCTTCAGAACCTGCGGTGGGTGGCAGGGACGGTGAGCACGGCCCACCCTCCTCATGCCCACTCGCACCGCCTCTGCCCCCAGCCCCGCAGCCCCTCACCTCCATGGGGTAGATGCTGCTCTGGGCGATGGCCCCCGCCAGAGAGCCCGCCACGAGCCTCTCGTGGATCCTCAGCGTCTCCTGGTCACTGCCAACCAGTCGCTTGATCTACACAGGGACAGACAACCAGGGGGTTAACCCGGAGACCACGGTGCCCTCCCCACCTCAGCAGTCCCCAGGGGCCCCAGAGGTGCTGGCTGATGCTGCGGGCACGACGACTAGCTCTGGCTTTGGGGACCTCTGTCCAGGGGAAGCTCAACAGCCAGCGACGATGACTTCCAGAGACCAGGTCCTCACCTGCTCGTACGCCATGAACTTGATGGCCGACTCCGGGGCGATTTTGAGGACATTGATGCCGTTGCCCCGCCACAGGGACTTGGCCCCTCCCTCTCGGATCATCTGAGTGAATCCGCCCACGATGCACATGTTGTTGCTACGGGAGGCGTGGACCTGCGGGGAGGACATGCGGTCAGCGGGGCCCAGCAGGACCCCCGACCACCAGGAGAACCAAGCGAGGCTAATTCGCGTTAGATTCAACTAGCTCTTACGGCACACCTGCTTCGTGCCAACACTGCACTAAATGCACCCTTTCTAAAAAAAAAAAAAAAAAAAAAAAATGCAGGCCTGGAATCCTAGGACTTTGGGAAGCTAAGTCAGAAGGCCTACATGTTCAAGGCCAGCCTTGAACAGACTGGGGAGACTCTGTCTCAAAATAAAAAATACAAAGGGACTGGGGATGTAGCTCAGTGCAAAGGCCCTGGATTCAATCCCCAATATTGGAAAAAAAAAAAAATCAAAACAACAACAAAAAAATGTCATATCATGAAAATGTTCAAATACATAAAAACAGAATTAACCACAAGCCTCCATACACCCACCCTAGCTTCAACAATCATGCCAGGGTCAAGCATTTTACCCCAGGGCTGCTTTTAATTTCTCCAGCATTCCCAGGAATTCTGTCAAAAACACAAATTGCTCAAGACCTTTATGGTCAGGTCTTGGAAGGTGGGGTGGTGTGCGCAAGGTCAAAGAGCTGGGAGGGAAAATGATAGTTCTTTTTTTCTCCTTCCCTCCTTCCCTCTCTCCCTTCCTCCCTTCCTCCCTTCCTCCCTCCGTCTCTTTTTAGGTGTTTTTGAGAGAAGGTCTCACTATGCAGCCCAGGCTAGGCTCAAACTTTCTATCTTTCTGTCTCAGCCTCCTGAGTGCTAGGATTACAGACATGCACCATAATCCCTTGTGGATGACGCCTTTTCTGAGCAAGCACAAAAAGTGCCAGACACAAGGTAGGAGGACAAAGGGTGATGGGTCACTGTCCAGATAGACATCAAAGTCCAGCTGAGTGTCCTCAAGCGGGTCATTTCACAATCCCAGCCCTGACATCAGGCGGGCTTATCTCTGCCCTTCAGACGCGGAGCTGTGGCCTGCAAGGGCCAAGGGTGCTGCTTCCCGTGGCATCTGGTCCCACGAGGCTCTGCCCCCCACTATGTGCTGCAGGAATCCGCACCCGCCACGCCCCAAGTGTCCCTGGCCTCACCGGCGCACCTTAAGCCACTGTAAGATGATGCCTGGCTTAAGAACCTCAACTAAAATTAGACTGGCCATGTGCAAAAGGTCACCGAGGCTTGGACTCCTGATCAGGCAACGACTCTCATCTAATTCATGGGGTTAGAAAAGCAGAGGCCAAAGCAGCACTGCCGCCAAGGGAGGGAAAGTTAACCTGCCGGCGACCCCAAGCAGCCAGGGCCACCTACTGCTCACCTGCATGAGCACCTTGAGCCTGTCCAGGGGGGCCGTGCAGGTCCTAGACACGGCCCCCGCCCCGCCTCCTGCCACCAGGTGTCGCCACCACATGCCCGTCTGCCTCTCCTCCACTGTGAACTCATCCGGGACCGTCAGGTTCTCACCCACATCGAAGATCTGTGAGGAAGAGCAGCAGACACGTCACAGGCCAGCCAGTGCCAAGCCGGTGACAGATGTCACCTTCCACCCTCTTGAAGTGGGCATGCAGGGATGCTGGGGAGGAGCCACACGCAGGGCGAAGCTCTGAGCCTTCGTGGCTTGCAGAGGCCGGGCAGAGAACAGAGGGGGCACGGCATGAGGGACAGGCCACAGGCTCAGGCACAGACCCCTCGAACCAGCTTACAAGGCCAGTCGGGGAGGACCACCAGGCTGGCCAAGCTGACGGGATCGAGCCCGGGGTAAAGGCCCTCTGAAACCCGATGTGTAACCGGACCACACTGGCAGAACACTATGTAAGACCTCAGCACGCAGGAGGAGCGCGCCCATGGCTGCCCTCTCTCTGGGCGGCATTCAGGCCAGTCCCGGCCAGTGCTGCCCTGACCCGGGCTGTGGGCCAGAGACTCGGCCCAGCTGCTCTGAACCCGGGAGCTGGCAGACACTGCCAGCCCAGGTGGGTGACTCAGCCAGAGCGAGGACACCAAAAAAAGGGCAAGTGCAGGGACATTTTGTAGCTTTCCACGTGTGTCCTCCGTGGCATCACTTGTCCCCGTCCCCGGGGAAGGGTCACAGGCTTGGGAGGTCACAAGCACCAGGGGAAGGGGTGTTGGGCACACCTAGGAGGCACGGGCACACGTGGGGCGGGAAGGCACTCCTAGCAAAGGGGCCCTGCGCTAGGCGAGCCCTCGAGCAGGGTGCTCAGGTGGGCGTGAGGGGACCAGCTCTGCAGGCGGCAGGCGCGGGCCGAGGGCGCCCTCACCGTGGAATGCTTCCAGTACAGGATGATCTCGGGGATGTTCTCCACGGGGTGCAGGAGGTGGTAGTCCCGCCACTCGTTCCAGTCAATGGTCATCGTGCCGTTCTTATCCATGCTGCAAGGGAAGGGCGCGGTCACTCACGGGGGATGGTGCCGCACGGCCCCCCTCGGGGCAAGCAGGAACAGGTGCCCTGGCCCCAGAGGAAACCACAGAGGGCACGGGGGCCCCAGAGAAAAGGCAAGGTGGCTCCACACCCCACCTCGCACCGGACAGGGATGCACCAGCCTCCGTTTGGGGGAGGGCTTTTTTCTTTCTGGTTTTTAGGGGTTTGAGACAGGGTCTCACTATGTATTCCAGGCCAGCCTTGAACTCACTGTATAGCCCAGGCTGGCCTCGAACTCACAGAGATCCTCCTGCCTCAACCTCCTGCATGCTGGGGTCACAGGTGTGCGCCACCTCGCCCAGTTCAGCTCCCCGTTCTATCGGGCATGGACGTCAGGGAGGAAGGCAGTCGAGGGGGGCGGAGGGACACGCATACTTACTAGGTGACAGGGCCCCAGAAGTGGCCCGCTCGTATTCTGACAGACACACAAAGGAGGAAGCGGAGGAGAGAGGAGAAACACAGATAAGTGCCTGGCAGCGGTTAGTGAAGCAAGCACACAGCGTACGCGGACGGCGGGTACAGCGCAGCACGACGACAGGCCCTGCGACGATGGCCCAAGGAGCGGGTCCAGCGCTGCTGTCCCACTGGCACAAGCGCCCGGGCCTCAGGGGTTTGCAGAGGCCCAGCCAGGAAGGACAGCAGCACCCGGGGCTTCTCAGGGGGGTTCCCGGCAGCCACCACACCCACGAGCGCCGCATCAGCGCAGTGCATGACCGGGGTGTGGGAAGCAGTCCGGACAGTGGAAACGGGGTGGCAAGGAGTTGGCCCCGTTGAGGGTCACACAGGGTGCCAACCCCTTCTCAACCATACGCCGAGAGTGTTCCTAGGACTCCTTTCAATGACTTGAAATCCCCTCAACTAGTCTTTCTTTTTTTTGTTTTTTGAGTCAGGGTCTCGCTATGCAGGTCAGGCTGGTCTTGAACTCACTAAGTAGCCCAGGCTGGCCTCAAACTCATGGTGATCCTCCTGCCTCAGCCTCCCAGGTACTGTGATTATAGGCATGTGCCACCACACCTGGCTTTCCCGCAACAAATCTTTTCCTGGGTCACTGGGGAATGGGCCTCATTCCCTAACTCCAGATCTGTGAGTCTTCCAAAGGAGGCTGGCCTGCAAAGGTTGGAGGGCTTGCCTGGAGCAGGGTTATTTCTTTATCATCCTTTGCAACCCTGAGAAGGCCCAGTTCAGAGAGCGGGCCATACAGCCAGCAGTACCACGGGTTAGTCCCAGAGTTCTCCTTTGCAAACCCAGCCCGGGCCTGCCAGGCACTCACCTCTTGAGGATCTTTTCCGCCTGCTGCTCTGAGATCTTGACTCCCAGGTCCCGCAAGGACTGCATGATCTCCTGGGCATCGATTTGTCCTGCAACGACAAAGGGCGTGAGTGGGGCTGGGCATGCGCAGAAGCCAGAGATCGGGCTGGCTGGGGCTCCGCAGGTCAGACTCACCGTCATTCTTCTTGTCCAAACTCTTGAACACCAACCTCAGTTTCTTCTCGTGGTCTTGGAGGTAGTGCACGAACTCTTCGAAGTCCAGCTGCCCATCGAGGTCCTTGTCGCCAGCCTGGACAATTTTCTGGAAAACAGAAGTGAGGTTTTGTTTTTTGGTTCTGGCTCAGGCTCTCGCCTGTCCTGTCCCTGGGGGGCCCCTTCCCCAGGAAGCCACCGAGCTCATCTGCGGACGAAGGCCACCCCATGACCCGAGCTGCCACTGTGTCAATCCCACAGCTGCCAGGGCAAGGCGCCCACACGTCAGAGCCACCACTTAGGTCTCCAGGGCCTGGTCCAGAAGCCCAGCCCAGGCCCGTCCCGCGTTCCAGACAAGCACCCAGCTGAGAGGATCCTCGGGACAGAGGCCGGCGGGGCTGCCTGGCACCTGTTCCTTCTAAGGGTTCCCAAGACCAGCTTGTCACACGGCCCGGTCAGCTGCTTGGCTCCCCGCGGCCCTGGCCCTGGCCCCATGTGCCTGGTGGTGAGGTGGGGACAGCTTGGAGTCAGGTTCCCCCGGGAACCCTGCCAGATGTTCTTTCTGTCCCGCACAGTGGCACTGGCCCAAGAACAAGCCGGAGGCCAGGGTGAAGGTACAGGGCAAGGCCCACTCGGCAGAAATGCTGCCAGGAGCGCCGAGGCTGCAGGGCAGGTGGGAGCCAAGGGCAACTAACTATTCGTGGGCCTGTGCTGATGCCACAGCCAGTCGCTGGTCTCAAGGATGCCTGATGATAAAACCAACCCAGCCTTCCCACCCAGGCTCTGCACACCAGGGCAGCTCAAGTCCGGGCTGGTCCAGCAACCCAAGAAGCCTTTAAGGGACTCTGCCCCTTCCACAACCATAATCCTACTACTTGGGAGGCTGGGGCAGGAGGTCAGCAAGTTTGAAGCCAGCCTGGGCTACACAGTGAATTCAAAACCAGCCTGCACTACATAGCAAGACCTTGTCTCAAAAAAAAAAGTCCTTCGCTCTGAGGTTCCAAAACTCTGCCTCCGCCCTTCAGAGGTGAGCTCTGTCATCTCCCCACAGGAAGGCAACCTGCTCCTGAGCACCTGCCATGCGCCACAGGCCGTGCTAAATAAACGTTTTATGGAATTCTTTCAAACAGCTCTAGGGCCCATCATTTCCCTGGTTATGGAACTGGAGCTCAGAGAGGGTGAGTATCCACTGGAAGTCACACAGCCACAAGTGGTGGGTGGGTGAGTCCAGCTGGGTCTGTTGGACTCCCGAGCCACCTCCCTGCAGATCCTACCTCCATGCTATGGAGTAATCTCAGGAAAATAGGGGACAACTGTGAGTCACTCCAACAGAGCAACACCCTGAACGGAGAACCACAGCTCTCCTAAGGGGAATGGTGATGGTCTCTCTGTGTCCCCTGAGAGCCTCACCCAGAATCCCATTCACTAGCACACATGAGCGCGGTTTCCAAAGTCTTTAGGGCAGGCCTTGGGGGTCTGGAAATCCAGCATCCCTCTTAGACAACGCCCTGGACCACGGATGGTGTGAGGGAGGCCTGGCCGGGAGCCCTGTGACCTCACTTGATCGAAAGCGCGGGGTGTGGGGTGCGGCTGGAATGTGGGGCGGATGCAGGCACATATTTCATCTGCTCTCTGGGGTTACGTTAGCTTCCTGCCAGCACCCGTGCTCTCCGCCCAGAGGGACGGGAATTACACAATGGGGCCATCACTGTAGATCTCTACAGGAGTGGAAGCAGCGTCTATGTGCCATCTGGGAGGCCAGGCTGCCTGGGACCCGGGTACCAACCCTACTGGGCTGGGTGCCCCGTGATACAGGCCACCCACCACTGTGCCCATCACAGCCACTTTCAAAGGAATCTCCAAGCCCCTGCATCCACCTCCAAGCCACCGGACCAGCTCCCTGTGCCTGCCCTGGGGTGCGCAGCCACCCCTCCTCCTCCATCTCCCCTGAATCCCCAGAATCCCAGCCTTCCTCCCCCAGAAGTCACGTGAAAACCAGTCATTCGCCTGCCAGACCGCTGGGGGGAAAGCTCCACGTGTCAGACATTCTTTCTCCCGTGCGGGGGGCAGTCACCCCGCACAGCCTCTAACGCCGCTCAGCCATCCACTCGACAAGCGCCCCGCGCGCCCCTCACCGCCCCCGCCCCGCGCAGACCTGCTTCCACTGGCGGTAGGTGGAGAATTCCTGCGAGGGGATGAAGACGCTGAGTTTGAAGATGGACTTGAGCTCGGCGGGAAGCCCCTTGGACTCAAAGTACTGGAACTCGGTCTGGGTCTCCCCGATGAGCGGCACGTACAGGCACAGGCAGAGCATGCTGGCGGAGCCGGCGCTCGGCGGCCACGGCCACGGCGCGAAGCGCGGGCAGCCTCTAGATGGGAATGCTGCCGGTCCCGGGAAACGCACCCGAGATATGCCCGGCCTCGCCTGTCATTGGCTGCTTGAGCCCTGCCCTTTTACTGAATTGAGAAAACTCCACCCAATGTAGAGCAGCTGGCAGCCAATGAGCACGGCCCCCAGCGGACGGCGGCATCAGGTTGCTCAAGAGCTGAGAGCAAAGAGCAGGACCCACGTCACGGCCACCTGCAGTGGGTCTGGAGCGGGCAGCAGCAGGCTCTGCCCCACATCCAGGTACCATCCCCAAACTAACCTTCACCCCCTGGCTGCCAGCCCCTCCACATGGACAAACAGCCCACAGCCTGTTTTCATGCAAGGTCCCCAAATGCGTCACATAATGCAATGCTTTCCTGCTGTTGGTAAATCGTTCATTCCCAGCAGAAAAAGTCAGAGGAGGAGCCGTGCAGTGGCACACACCTGCAGTTCCTGCTGTGCAGGAGACTGAGGCGGAAGACCGCCAAGTCTGCAGCAACTCAGCGAGACCCAGTCTCAAAATAAAATGGGGGGCCAAGGATATAGCTCAGTGGCGCAAGCGCCCGCCTGGCAAACGTGAGGTCGTGAGTTCAATTCTTGGTACCAAAAAATAAAATAAAATAAAATAAAATAAAATAAAATAAAATAAAATAAAATAAAATGGGAAGGACTGGGGTTGAAGAAAACTCAGTGGATGTAGGGTACCTGAGTCCATGACAGCTGCAAATGGACCAGGGCTGCTTTGAGAGAAGGTCCTCGGCTGCCCTAGAACATGGACCCCACTGTGGGCCACTCGTCCTGCAGGGGTACATGGCTGGCCTGACCTTCCAGGTGGGCACCTGCTCAGGGCCCCCAGCCCAGCACATCCCTCGTGCATGCAGGGCCTGGCGCACCTCGCTGGCCACTGTGACAGGAGCACGCAGGGACCAGCCATGGTTCCCCTTGGAGTCTGAGTCACCTAGGACTGGACACTATGGGGTCTAATGGTCTCCACAGAGGGACTCCACAGATGCGTGAACCTGCACCCGCTTCCTCGCCTGCAACACTGCTGTTCAGTACAGAAGCTTTTTACAGTGAAGTTGAGTACAATGAAGCGAAACTAAAAACCTCAGCCAGGCCACACTGCAGGCGCTCAACAGTCACGCGTGCACAATAATAGCAATACCAGCCATTCTGGTGTCGTGGAAACTCACCCTGGGCCACCCAGCAGGGCTACCCTGGGAAGGCTTGGTCACCAGAGGACAAGGACAGTCCTCCCTGGCCCAGCCTGCGTCCCCCCTTTCCTTCTCGGCAGACTGCGAGGGAGGAGCCCTGGTCACTGTGGCCCAGAGAACAGGACTGTCCCACCCTCCTGCTTCGGCTGTGCACCTCCTCCTAACATGGACTGAATCTTCGCGCTGCCAGGGTGGATTAAAAGGGCAGTTACCATTTGAGAGCAACTGCATGAGAAGGTCCCATCAACTCACAGCAAAGCTAAGAAGGTCTGAAGAGGTTTCCAGAATAAGACGCTGGCACTTGTGTGTGACACTGTAATTCAGAGGTCATACCAGCAACCAGGAGCTTCGGCCCCTAGAGAAGGACCTGGTGATGACTTTGGAAAAGCGGGCCCTAGCCTGATCTGATGTCGTTGCTCTGATGATCCAGTCAGACTGCTGGAGCTGCCCAATCCAGAATACTTTGTTCTGGGGCTACTTCTTCCTCCCACACAGGGTCTTGCTATGTAGTTCAGCCTGAACTTGAACTCACCGTGTAGCCCAGGCTGCCCTTAAACTTGCATCAATCCTCCTGCCTCAGCCTCCTGAGTGTTGGAATAACAGGCCTGTGATACCACACCCGGCTCAGGGTCTATTTTAAGACACATTTTATCTCTACTGTGGGGGTCCTTGAAGACAGAAGGCAACTGTCTTGGACCTCTGTGTTTCTTTTCCTGATGCTAACCTCTTCCTGGATCACACTGGGGAGGACTTCATTAGAAGCTTTGAATGCTTACCTGGCTTCTGAGGCCCCAAGCAACACACACAGGGCCACCCTCCGCGAGGACACGATACAGTACTGTTTAACTTAAAGGAGCTTCACATTAAGAAAAAAAAAGCCAGACATGGCAGGGCACGCCTGCAATCCCCTTACTTGGAAGGCTGAGGCAAGAGGATCACTGCAAGCTAAAGACCAATCAGGGCTACACAGTGAGTTCAAGACCAGCTTGATCTACACTGTGAAACCCTATCTCAAAAAGCCAAAATAATTTTTCTAAAAAATGACAGAGATCTGTTGAAGTGTCCTATTTTAGGGAAGACCGCCGTTATTCCAATTTAAAACAGCCAATATTTTGCCTGGATAAGTTGCTCAACTAGAGAAGTTCATTTCCTGAGAAAGTATTATATACCATTTTGTTAAGCGTAACTGTACCATTAGGATTTGTGAGATAGATAGATAGATAGATAGATATATAAAACTAGTTTGGGAAGAGATTTGAAAACATTAATAAGAGTGAAATCAAGCCTGGCATAGTGACGCATGCCTAGAATCTCAGCACCTGGGCAGCTGAGGCAAGAGGATCATCAAGAGTTCAAAGCCAGCCTGGACTACATCGTGAGACACTGTCCCCAAAAAAAAGAGAGAAAGAGAAAGAATGGATGAAATCTATGCTCTCTGTTGTAAGGGGAAGGCATTAAGTATTATCAACTAAGCACAAATAAAAGAAAAAATGAACTGTTCTTGACTATAACAATGCTCCTTAATCTGCACAGTCCAGCAGTTTCAGGAAGCCTGGAAAAGTTCTCTGAAATGTTCAGCATGCGCCTGTCAACACATTATTTTACAATGCTAACATCAGTCCTAGTCCAGCATTCGCTGTTCTGTGTTTGTTTTTGCCACTGTGACTGAGATCCGCAGAATGGCGTCACTGGGTAAAACCAAACTGATGTTTGCTTACTGATTTGAAGTACCGATCCCACAGCATTTCACAGGATATTCAGAGCTCCACCTTCACAGAACTGGGGATGCTTCCCAGACAGCCATCTCCAGGTGCCCGGAGTCCCAGGTGACTGCTTCACCCTGGACTTGAACACTGCGGGGCCCAGTGGGGTCCGGAGTTAGCACACCCTTGTCCTCCGAGCCCAGCACAGGAGCCTGGCGAGATGCCCGGGCTCAGGCTCACAGCTCGGCTGGGCTCGTGACAACATTTTCACTTAAAAGCACCCAAAACCAACACGGCCACAAGGAGACTGCAGAAGCCGCTACGCCTCCCACTGGAGGGAGGAGGGGTGCAGGGAAGTGTCACTCGGGAGAGTTTAGTCTCAGCTAAAAACAAGCAGCGGTCACCTCTGGGTCCCAGCTTCTGACGGCACCTGCAGCGGCACAATGTAGGAACACCCAGCACAGGCTTAGCCCTGACGTGGTAGCAGCGCCCGGCTCCGGACTGCACACGTTCTCCTCTGCTCTCTTTATTCTAGTTCTGCCACCCAGACCTATTTGTGTGTGCTCCTCTGATGTCCACTGCCTGTGCCTAGCATTCGGAAACAATGACAGGACGCTGTGTCCCTCAGAATTTAGTGGCATCAGATTTCTTTTCATCTGGGAGCAGATCCTCCCACGAGCATCTCTTCACCCCTCATGGGCAGATTAGCTTTCCTTGTCCTACCACAAAACCCCAAGCAGGTACTTCCTGTTAAGGCCGGAATACAGTGAGTAAGAACAGGGTAGGGCCAACGTCTTTGGAAGTCGTAGCATTAGGTGAGAACTCGAACCCTCCCCGTGACTGATTAGCTGCAAGCCAGAAATATTAGTCGGTAAAGGAGCTTCACAAGCCCCACCCACCCCGAAGGCTCTCCACTCTCACTGGCTGCTGTGGCTGCAGTGTCATTTGATGACCAGGTTGCCATGACAGCCCAGTACAGCCGGTTTCCAGTGAGACCTGCCTGCACTTGGCAATTGCACACACAATGAGCGAAATGCTCTGAGCTTCTGAGAAGACAGCCCCTCAGGATCAGCAAGCTCCAGTGCCGAGAGGGCACCTCCCACTCCAGGCTAAATGGCTCCCTTCCCCAGCGGCAGATTAACTGGAAGCCGGAGATAAAGGGGAAAACTGGCACAGTTCCTAAAATAAAAGCCTCCAGGAACCTGACTCACAGAGAGACACATTTACACGGGGGAAGTGAGGGCGAAGCGAAGTAGGGCTGCTGGAGCCTGGGAAGTCAGGGAACTTCTCCCACCAGTTTCCAAGAACTCCGGAGGCCCCTTGCTAAGAAGGGGTCAGACCGGCCTCGAGGACGCATCTCCCACGCACTCACATGGCACACACGCTCCGACCACTCGATGTTCCTTTTACCCTTTTCAAGGGGTCTACAGTGCCCACCTAGGCGCTCTCCCGCTTTCAAACCAACCCAGCTGCTCCACCTCCTCTGGGCACCCCGCCCCCCACGCAACTAGCCAAGCAATCTCCCCGGTGGGAACCGAGCCAGGAGGAGGTGTGGGTCCCTGGGTTCTGCGGGCCAGGAACTAGGCTGTTCGGAACAGAAAGTCCCACCCGAGGCCACCCCGCCTGGCACAGGGTGCCTGTGTGAGCCTGGAAAATGGAGCAGTTAATTATTAAAGTTTAAAAAAAGGTGCTTTTGAAAAGGCAGCCAGCTAATCCAGGCTATGAGAGCAGGGCTGTAGATAAAACTTCCTCATAAAAGCTAGCCTCATTGCCACTGCTGACGGTGTCTAAAACAGGCACAAGGCAGCAAGTGACACTGTGGCACATTAAACACGCGTATCTCAGCTTCTCAGATGCGACACAGACCCTGACGCCCACAAACAGCACGTCACCCTCAGGATTCTCCTCAGCGTCAACACCCACAGTACCGCTAAAGTTGTCACGGTAAAAATCACTCTCTAGTAAATAGATGATTGTTTATTTCTTAAATGTAGGAATTACATCTGGGGCATCTTGAATGTACCAAAAACAGGGCAGATAGAATCTCCGTCCCTCCTCTGAGTGAGGAAGTAGAAAGGATTCGAAAAAACCAAAGCTCAGGAAGTGTTCTACCCTGAGAACTCAATGAGTCCGGTTCACCCAGCTGTCTTAAGGGCAGGGAGGCAGAAAAGGAAATATTCCAGATGGACTGGGGTCTGATCCGAGCTTCACCTGCCCTCAATTGCTTACCCCTGAGCAAAGCACTGACCCTTTCCGCACCTGTTTCCTCATCTACAGAACTGAAGCACTACGCTCACCCTGGCTCTTGTGAGGCCCGGATGCGACAGCCATGCTTTTGGGGGTCACCAGGGACAAAGAGCCCCGGCACTCAGCTGACCGTGGGTGGGACTGCGTCCTCTCTTGGGACCCAACCCTGTCCCTTCAGACTCTTCCTCTGGGACCCAAAAGTAAAGAGAGTCCCACCGAGGCCAAGGGGACTGCGACCTTTACGATGCCCACAAAAGCCATCCCCAGGTCCGGCCCACTTCCACGGTGCCGCTGTTGCCTCTGGACCCGCCTTCTCTGGACTGCTCGGCTAAGCCGCCACTGTGCTTTAGTTCGTCCTTTACTTTCAAACGGCTTTCTGCCAGCGAACTGACAAACCCTAGGGCAAACCTATCGGAGTTGCCCTTCCTTTCTGCTCTGTGGAACTCTGCGAGGTCCCCCGGGGTAAGAAAGCTTTCTCAGTGGCCTTGGGAGATTCCGGCTGCATCAGCGGACTCTGTTCACTGCCTGACACATCTCTGGTCCCCACTACCAAACTGAGTTTTTTAAAGTAATTCCTCCCTTTCTCCCCACACCCCAGCTTTTTTCCTCCAGGAAAAGAGAAAAACAATCCCAGCCCTGCCCCTTCGGGTGCTGTTACCTTAGGAAACTGCTCTGCCGGTCCGACCACCAGCAAGATGGTGGGTCTCTTTTCCGAAGCCTCGGCCCTTCCGTCCTGTTTGCCCAGAAAGCCTGACCTCTGGTCTCCCTGGGTGCCTCTGACTCCGTGCTCGGAGCCCTCTCTGGTGCCCTGGCACCCAGCCCTGGGGAGGAAGCCAGACAGAAAATGCCACAGCACCTGCAGCATCTCGGGGTCCTCCCAACGCCGCCGATGGTGGCCGCTGGCTTTGGAGGAATGTGACCACAGTCCCAAAGGTCTCTGCTGGCACAGCTGCCTGGTAGACCAGACTAAGGAGCGCTCAGGCTGGGAGCTCCGCACGCAAGGGCGCTTTCCTAATGCTTCCGATTCGCTCACGCTGCCGTCGTGCCTGGCCTGAGAAGTAGCTGGCTCTGACAGCGTCTGGCTGTGGGTAATAAAGACTGCAGCAGGGCTCTTCAATAAAAACGCACTTCTGCAGGTGCCTAGGAAGCAAAGGTTTGACTTTTTTGTTTTTAAAAGAAAAAGCGATATCCAAGCAGACCTCTTCCAGAGGCAGAAGCAACTTGGGAGCTCCCAGTCATTCAGCTGTCCTCGCTCATCACCCAGCGCAGCGCACAGCATCCAGTCTGCATTCTCACTGCAGCAGGGCCCAGCCAATCCGCTACGCCGACACTACCAAGTTCCTCATCCCGGCCGCATACGTCCTCCAATCACAGGCAGCGATTCCTGCCCGCAGCCGGGGGAGTCCGCAGGGAGGTGCAGACCCAGCTCCAGATAGGCTCAGCTGGCAGAACCCGCAGGAGCCGGCTCACGGCTGCGGAAACTTCCTGCTCCCCACCAGCGCGGCTTCTTGGATGATGGTCACCAAGTTTAAGAAGATCAGCAGCCCTCGGCAACACCTTTTCTTGGTGGTTGTTTTATACGACAGGGTATTGCTATATATTCCAGGCTAGCCTTTCACTCACTGTGTAGCCCAGGCTGGGTTTGAACTCGCTGCGATCCTCCAGCCTCAGCCTCCTGAGTGGATGGGATTACAGGTGCGCCGCCATACCTCTCTTGGCAACGCTTCCCAAAGCAGCAACACGCCCTAGTTCCATCGTCCAGTTTGCACAGCAGAGCACCTGCCATAGCATAGCTACTTCTCTCGTGTCTCCCCCTAGACTGCTAGCTGCTTGGGGACACGGACCAACTCCGGGACAGCACTCCTCCTGCCCGCCAGAACCTGCACAGATGAACGCTGTAGACCGACTGAGTAAATACCGCCATTTCCCCAAAAATAAGACGGGTCTCATACTCACTTTTATTCCGAGGCACAATAGGGCTGATTTTCAAGGGATGTCTTATTTTTTTCATGTACAGCCATCTACACTTATTTATTTATATAAAATCTACATTTATTCAATACGATCATGTCACCTTCCGGAACATCATCTTAACTCTTCAAGCCCTCGAGTTCGGGCCTGAATTGCTCGCGACTCCATTTCCTGGAGCACCACTGGCCCCAGTCTCCCAGGCCCAGCAGTAGAGCTCTCCTGAAACGAGCGAGTGCTTCCTGTCCACACAGCCTGTTCGTACTGCATTGATAACAGCTGTCAGCGAGTTTATCCCACAAAATCCGCACCCAATCCACGACCTCCTGCAGGCCGGGATTCACAAAGTTTCCATCAAATCAGGTGTTATTTGAAGACTTAAGAGTGGCAACAAAAATGATGACAGTTAAAAATGAAGGGCCAGGTGTGACGGCGCACAGCTGTACTCCCAGGACTTTGGAGGCTGAGGCAGGAGAAGCGCCCCAAGTTTGAGGTCAGCCTGGGCTACAAAGCGAGTTCAAAGCCAGCCTGAACTGCATAGTGAGACCCTGTCTCCAGACCAAAAAAAAAAAAGAATGATGGTCCACACAAAAGTGATGAAAAAACTGCAGGCACAATTTAGAAAACGTTCCTTTATTTTACATGAAGTGCGTGAAGTATGTCTGTTACAATACATGGCATATTAAGTTCTGAAGATCCGTACTAGACACAAGCATGCCCTCCATTACCAAATGCACATCTTATTCACGTGTTCTGCACTCAGGTCAGTGGCTTGACAATAAACCTCAAGTTCATCCACTTACTTAAGTGTTTACCTCTCCTCCAAAGGCACCCGCTTAGGTATTTACTGATACTTAATTATATTATCATTTATTTTAAGTATTGTCAATAATATTCTTTATATTTAATTATATAAATATTACTATTTTATAATTTAATACATCCACTGCATATTGCAACAGACATCTTAATGCATCTGTCTGGCTGACAATCTTAACTGGGGTTTATTTTGAGGGTAGGGCTTCTATTAAAAGCATCCTGAAAATTCATGCTAGGGCTCATTTTTTTGGTTAGGTCTTATTTTCGGGGAAATACAGTAATAAGTTCAAGGCTGGCCTGAACTACATAGCTAGACCTTGTCTCCAAAAAAAAAAAGAAAAAAAGCAGGAGGTTGTTTTCAAGTTTGAAGACCGCCACTGGAACACTTAAGAGGGTTCGGGCAGGAAGGGCATTTGGAGAAAGGCAGACGGCAGATTTATTATCACAGAATAGTTTCTCCCACCCTGTAAAACTGAGCCACAGGCATATGTGACCCGGGCATACATAAATAAAACAATCATTTAAAAAGCAGCACAAGACCAGGAAGCCAGACAGTTGGGACAGAGTCTCCTGATGCTTGTTTTGAACACAGAGGGAGCCTGTGCCCGCTGGCCGCTCCTGGATGAACAGAACAAACCCACCCAGAAGCAGTTCTGTGTCCTAGTGAGCTGTAAGATCTTTGGAACCAGGACATGGGCCCAAACCCCAAATACTACTTCCCAGCTACGTGATCTCAATTAAGCTACCTTAGCCCTCTGCACATCAATATTCTTTTATTTTTTTTAATGTTTTTTGAGACAGGGTCTTGCTGTGTAGCCCAGGCTGGCCTCAAACTTAGAGTGATCCTCCTGCTTCAGCCTCATAAGGGCTAGAATTACAAGCATCTGCCCCCACACCTGGCTACACATCAACATTCTTCTGTGACAGACTGGTTCTGTGACTTTCTAGAGAGAATCAGATTTGCTGGGGGTGGTGGCACACACCTGTAAACCAAGCACTTGGGAGGCTGAGGCAGGAGGATCATTGGGAATTCGAGACCTGCCTGGGCTACAAAGTGAGCTCAAGGCCAGCCTAAACTGCAGAGCAAGACCCTGTCTCAAAAAGACCAAAAAAAAAAAAAGACTGAATCAGATAATGCAAATATCCCAGAGCTTTACATGGAACAGTAAATATTAGCTGTTTTATTACCATTATCTGGAAAATGACTGGAAATTGATGCAACCAGGTAGTTCTAACACTAAAAAGAACCAGCGCAGCGCCAAAAGCCCCACATAAAGTGGGTGTGGTGGCACATGCCTGTAACTCTAGCACTGAGGAGGCTGAAGCAGGAGGATTCCCACAAGTTTGAGGCCAGCTTGTCCTACACAGTGAATCAAGGCCAGCCTGAACTACATAAGGAAATGCTACCTAAAAAAAAAGCCTAAATGATAACTTCATCCTCTAAAGAACACGAATCCTATTGTCAGGCCCACACAGTCCAGCGAAACGAAGAAGACAGCACTGTCTTGGGCTCCCACCTACAAACCTTAGAAAAATTCTTATTTAATTGGTTATGGGCTTTTAATCAAATGCACTGCTGCCCACCATGAAACTAGGTTACAAACTCGAGCACTTCCAGCCTGGAGGAACAGGGGCCGACTCACCTTCCTCCCTCTAACAGCAGAGTCCAGACAAAAGGTGAGCCAACGTCTCAGCCCCTGGGTAGCCGGAAACAGGGACAGTGTATCCTGAGGGATGTGCTCAAGTTACCCGGCTCCCACTGGGAGTTTCCGGGCTACTGTGCAGAGAGGGACCCCGGGGAGAGTTGAAGACGTGGGCTGGGAAGGCCCAGACACCCAGAGTTTGCAGGGTAGGGACCCAAGGAGGAGACAGTGGCACAGACAGCTCCGGGGTCCTCCAGGAGTCCCAGTGCGGGAAGGTGACTGAGGATCAGACAGGGCTAGGATGCTTCCTGTTCCAGCAGTCAGAGTAGAGATCTCCTTTCCAGGGCCGAGAGGCCCAGGACAACTCTCAAAGGGTTTTGCCTCAACAGGAGGCCAAAACCAGCCATAGGTGAATTGTTCCTGTCCCATCAGAGTGAGCCCTGCAAAGGTCAAACTGTGTCCAAATAACTGTACACAGCACAAAGCTCAAGAATTTCTATAGGAGTAAAAAAGTACCTACCACCCAACAAGGGCCAATCCAGTAAAAGATGAAGAGGAATGCAAAAGAGCAGGAAAACACCATAATGAAGATAGAAATCAGTCCACTGGAACTGACCCAGAGCTGGGCATGGTGGTGCACGCCTGTAATCCCAGCAGTCAAGACGCTGAGGCAGGGAGATTCCCCCAGGTTTGAAGCCAGCCTGAGCTACACAGAGAATTCAAAACCACACTAGCAAGACCACACTAGCGAGGTTTTTTGTCTCAAAAAGAAAAAAAAGAAATTGACCCAGAAAAGAGATGTACGATAGAATCAGTGTGTCAATGTGGACGCTCCAGGGAGCCGATCGTGTTCTAGATGTTCAAGAAACAAAGGAAAAAGTTCAGGCATGTCAAAGAGAGGCACTGCAGAGTCAGCTCAAACTCTACAGGAAAACTGCGCCAGAGTTCCCTGGATGGTCTTAACAGATCAGACGCCTCAGACGCCTCAGACGCCGCAGACGCCGCAGAAGAAAGGGCTAATGACCTTGAAGACTGCAACAGGAACTTCACAGAAATGAAACAAAAAGACGAAGACAGAAACTCCCAGAGGGTCAGGGTGCCGTGGCACAAGGCCAAACAGGCTAACCGAAGGCATGGGGAGGAAACTGAAGAAATATTTAATGAAATGGCCAAACTTTTCCCCCAAATTTATTGCCAACTACAAATCACAGATCTGTGATACTCAGCCACCCCATGCATGCAAACATTAAAAATTTTTAAAAGCCAGTAACACAAAGCACCACTGGGGCTGGGACCACTCCCTGCCACTCACCTGCACCAGGACAACGCCCCAGGGCCATCTGGACCTTTGTCCCCAGGCCTGATCCCCAGAGCTGGGGCTATGTATGACACATGCGTCCCACAGCCTCCTGCATGGCCCGCAGTAACCTTTCTTCACTGGGAGGTTGCTGAAGATTTATGCACAGGGACCATATCTAATTCATCCTTTTTTATTTTTTTGAGACAGCGTCTCCCTATGTAGTTCAGAGTGAACTACACTCACTGTGAAGCCCAGGTTGGCTTCAAACTCTCAGCAACCCTCCTGCCTCAACCTCCTGACTGCTAGGATTACAAGGGTGTGCCACCACAGCCGGCAATTTCAGCAGAAGGAATTATGGGAAGGACATGCGCAGTAGATACAGTCAATCTGTCAATCATGCCCTAGAGACCCAATGAGAAGTGCCCTCAACCCAGTGCAACATTTAAAATTCTGAAACCCAAAGTATTCAGTGCTAGTCCTGTTTCCCTTTCCCGTAGCAGGTGCCTGCTCACTCTGAGCATA